TTCAAGACTAGTTGTATAAAAAACGTGATTATATCCTTTTAGTTTAAACATAAACATCGATTTAAACAATGTAATTATTATGCATACATTTATTTATGATTGGACAATTCTTTGTCCACGTATATTTATAAAACAAAAAAAAAATGTACTTGTAAAAGCTATTTCTTCACTACATCAAGTTCATGTAGCTTAATTTCGTCAAGCCATAAAAAACATAATTATATTTTTTTAGTTTAAATAATAGACAACGATTTAACTTTTGCATCTTTTGGAATCATATTGATTTACGCATGAAACATTTTTTTAAACCATTACATATACAATGAAATTATATAATATAATTTTTTTTTCACGAGTGTAATATAAATAATAACAAAGTGTTTTGTCTACATTTGATAAAATTTACAGTTTCTAGCTCCAAAACCTTTTTTTATATTATTGGTTTAATTAGTTTTTCGATTTCAGTTACATAAAACAATTACCAAAAGCTAGGAGTTGAATACATAGACATATGAAGTCAAATTTCCTAACAGCACAAAAGAGATTTTATATAATTTTAAGATCATAAATTCAATAGCCAATTGAGTACCAAACACCTTCAATTTTTTTTTAATTAAAATGAAATCCGAAATTTTATTTTGGTAATTATTATGATTATACTTAAAAATCAATAACCGCGATATACAAACACCATGTATTGATCTAAACACGATATATACATAAGATAGATTATTAAAATGAGGTAGTAGCATAGTAGACCAACTATTCAATTTTCTTTTTTCTACAAAAATTTCATAGTTTTCTCATTTTTGCTCATTCACCACATTCCAACCATTAATAATAATGTCAACCATTGTATTTGGATATTTAAGTGTACGATATCATTTTTGTTATTTGTATTTTCAACTTATGCTCAAATGGTTTCATTCCCATAATATAGTTTTATGTATTTATATGTGATGTTAACGTTTTTTAAAAATGTATTAAACTTGAATCTGATATATCTAAAAAAAACTATTACGAATGTTTAGGATTAATATTTTTATGTATGTATTTGATATAATTATAACATATTATTCAATAATGGGCTAATGCTACAAAATATCCTATGACTTTGGTTTAGGAGTATGTTAGTGAGTATGTTTGTTAACTGTTCTAAAAAAATTCGACCAAAAAAATAATATAGAAAAGTGAGAGAGGGAAATATGTCCAAACTCATGAAATAAGTATAATAGACAAACTAAAAAAATTTATTTTGTATACAGTTTAATAAATTACATGGTATTTTTTTTCTACAAATAAAAAAAGTTATTATTATGCTAAAAGATTATTCCTATCCATGTATTATCCATGTTACCAAAAAATATTAAATTAATATCAAACTGTTAATTAGCGGTAATAATAACATTTTTTATAAACAATATATCAAGTTTAATGATATAATATATATCCAAGATAAAGTTTAATTATATCTTATAGACAAAAATAAAATTTTGCAATTCTTCTAGGTTATATTCGCTCAAAAGATAATAGATTAGATAACATTTTTTAGTTTATACATGTATATTTTTTTTTCGGTGTAGTCAAGAAGTACCTTATATATTTGATTTTGAAGATTATAACCAATTTTAAAGTTGAATTCATTTTGATAAAAAAACATTTTAGGTCTAAAGTTGAATTCATTTTGATAAAAAAAACATTTTAGGAAAAAACTACAAAATATAGTGTCTTTTATGAAACAAAAATACCTAATTTACCTGTTGGTGACCTGCCAGGGTCTGAAATAACAAGTAACAGGTAAAAGTTGGGTCTTTTCCGGAAAAGAAAAAAATTCTAAATATAAAAAAAAAAAACAAAATATAAGTTCTTTTATTTGTTTTCTATTAAATAACCCATTAGGTCAAATGTTGCATTGTCTTCGAGCCTTTACTAAGGTCAGGCCTATTTATCACTGGGCTTTATATGATCTATGGATTAACGAGTTTGGCCAAACACACAATTGGGCCTTATTGGACTGTGATATACAAATTCAAATTGATAATAGTATAATTTTATATACTATTGATACTTTAGTACATTTATTAGATAGAACAAATAATTATCTATAATTTATTTGGTAACCTTTTTTTTCGGTGCGGTTATTGTAGTTTACTTCACAATTTTTATTACTAACAAATATACCTGAAAATTTAATGTTCATTCTACACAAGAACAAAGCCTTGTAAAATGTGAAGATTATAAACAACCTGATTTATAGTAATCTTTAAATTAGACGCTTTTCACTAGGGTGAGCATTTGGACCCGTGGACGGGACCTGGATCCTTTTTTGGACCCCCGGGCCAGTTCTCAGTTCTAGAAATTGATTAAAACCGTTCAAGTTATTTAACGGTTCGGTCTGGCCGGTTCCGAGTAAAAACCGGTTTTGGACTTGATTCTGTAAAAATCTTTAAACAATCATAACTCATTTGTTTGAAGTCAGATTCACATGCGGTTTTTTTTCCAACGTGTAATTTAGAGTTTGTACATAAGTTTATACTATAATTTTGTTGTTTTGGGTGTTATATTCAATGAATTACGTTTCTTTAAAGTTGGGATAGCAAAGCTGAAATATTTCACATTTTCAACTATTATTTTAAATTTTTATATTCTTTGAAAATCTTTAAACAAATATATCTCATTCGTTTTGAGTCAGATTGACATGCGGTTTTTTCCAACTGTGTAATTTAGAGTTTGTACTTGAGTTTAGAACTATAATTCTATCGTTTCCAGTCCAAATGCTCCCCCCTACTTTTCACTATCCAACCCATAAATCTTGTTCACAAATTGGAAATCACGCTTCATATAACATGAAACCTAGAAATTAAAAATTGAGGATGCAAATTTTCTGATATAAAAACTTTAACTTTATTTAATTTTTATTTTGTAGCGGATCATGCCTCATAAATGAAAATAGTGTATCAAAAACCCAAAGTTCACATCATCATATTATTCATTAAAGAATCCAAATCAATATCTTCTTTTTTTGGAACCGGGCAAATATATTAATAAAAGAAAAGAATGCTCAAATCTAGCAAGAAGCTAGACGAGCAACAATACAAAACATGAAAATTACGAAATGTTCAAATACAAAGAAAAGGATCAATACACCATTCATTGCAATTCACATTCCCACTAGATTTTCTTCTGTATTTAATCCATACGAACACCATTGATTGTTTAAAAATTGAACTTTGGATTATGCATGTTTGAGGTTTGGATTATGCATGTTTGGTATTTTAATTTTGGGGATTTTTTTTAATATTTTTTGTAATGTTTATAATTTTAAAGTTAATTATGATTATGACTGTTCACTATTTGGTTAGAACCGAATTGTCCAATTAGACAATTTTGATTGGACTATTTGGTTCGGATATTCGGATATTTGGATTGATTTTAAGCTAAACCGAATTATTATTTTGGATTTCGGATTGGTTTTGATTTATAAAATATGAACTGAATAGTCCAAAAAAAAACGAATAACAACTTAATATTTATTTTTAATATACATCTTTAATCATTTATAAATTTACTAAATTATTTTTTAAATTATTAGAAACTTTCATTCAATATAATACCTTAATATTTACTTCTAATCAAAAGTTTTTTGTCAATTAAAATATTAAACTATAATCAATGTTTCTTAATAGTTGTTTATAAACTATAATTCATCATTAAAAGGTTTTTTAGATACTTTTATAGAGTTGACTAATATTTAAGTAATATATATCTTTTAACTGTCTCGCCTCTTAAAAACCGAATTGTAAAAACCGATCCAACCGAATTGTAATTTGGTTGGATTGGATCGGATTTGAATTTAATTTGGACTATTCGGATTCATGTTTCGAAAACCGAAATCTATTTGGATTTACTTGATTGGATCGGATCAAACCGATCCATCCATATGAACACCCCTAATTATGATGTAGTAACTATTAAAGTGAATCATGATGTAGTAACTACATCCTCTGTCTTTTAGACCTTTGGACCGGTTGCACCATTGAACTTGTAAGACAACACATTCGTTTTTCAAAACATTGGTGTACTCTCAAAAGAAAAGATATAGGCAGAGTAAAGGATACAAGGTAGTACGTAGGGCAACTCATTGTACAAATAACATTATAAATTAATAGAGAATACATGATAAAGAGTAAAGAGTCATTTTGGTATGACATACAGAATAAAAAAACAAATGTTACATTTCAGATATAGGGACTAAATCCACAGTCAAACCAAAAAAGATTTTTGGATTGTATCCATAAAAAATCAGCAAACCATAGTAACCTTTTTTGTAGTTTATTATTCTATACGGTCTTAGCCATAGTTTTGTAATTTTCTTATAACTTTCTTAATTTTGGAATTTCAAAGTTGATGAGAAATTAATTGATTTTTAGGTTTAGGTTTATGTATATACGATGTTGAATCCATATATTCAGCTGTTAACCTAATGAAAACAAAAAAGTTGGTTCATTTTCGTTTTTTTAGAACAACATTAATCTCAATAAACACCATCTCAAGAACTTAGAATGAGCAATATACTAAGATGAAAATCCCATCGTTGCAAAAAAAAAAAATTTCAAGTTTCAATTATGCATAAAGTTTTGGTTTGTTTGGATAGTAAATTCAAGAATTACACTAAAATGAGGAAAATGTCGATGATTTTGGAGTCATAAAGCATCTTAAGCAATTGAGATTTACACAAGTGGCAAATGAGATCTCAGATATGCTCAAATACGAGTCTGAGATGTGCAAAGTGCACACTTGTATGAAACACATCTTAAGCAAATGAGATTTTAAATTCTTAATCTTACAAACAAATCTAATCTTAAGGATCACAAACGTTATCTACAACTACAATTGTTCCACCTCACATTCACTAGAAAGAATTAAAGAAGTGATGAAAAAGATCAGAGAACTAAAGATGCATCAAGCAATGGAAAATAAAAATGGTATTCAACAAATGGAACCTAAACTTATAACAAACTCAACAAGCTTCATCATTATATAAAGCTTGAAAAAGTAAGAAGAAAGGTGCAGCTTAATATTAATACCTGTTGAAAGAAGCAATTGGTTCTACAACATAATAACAGAAGACAGTTTCAGTTGCAAATTGAATATAGTAAATACCTAAATTTTCATGTCCTCATTTGTTATGATGCTGCCTCTGCATCATGCCATCCCTTAGCACATGGTGGAATGCCCATGAACTCATCAAACTCCTTCACATGAACATCACAGCATTTCCACTGCACCAAAAAAAAAAAAAAAAAAAAAAAAAAAAACTTAAATATATTTTTTAAGCAACAAAACAAAAGATAAAATCTGATTCTTACCCCTCTCATTCGGTCATGGAAGACAGCAGGGCCAGGATGGTAATTACAAGCAGTCTCATGGTTATCAATTTCCTTGAAAGTTTGACCACATCCCTTGTTTTTGCAGATCTGAGGCTGGTTTATGTCAACAATTTTCTTCACTGGAGTTTTCCCACTTTCCTTCAAATCTAAATTAACCTTCTCTGAAGTAGTAGATTGAGGTTGATATGAAGGTTTTGTATTCATAACTTTCACTTGTGACCCTAAACCAACATAACCAAGGTTGTTTTAAATCACCAAAAAGAAAATAAAAAGTACTATTTTTCTTGAAATTAACAAAAATTGGGGTCAGAAATACCATGGTCAGAGCAAAAGAATCCTTGACGACATCTAGGGCAAGATTCTTTAGTTGAAGGAGATGGAGTTTTGATTGCTTGTTTTGGAGCAGCAGGGGTAGCCTTTTTTGCTATCACTGGCTTTTCAGTTGTGTGTTTGCCTGTCTTGCATCTTTAATGAGAAAAGACTGGAGTCATTAAATCATATTGCTAACAGTGTACAATGCAACAATATATACATACAGCATACCCTGGAATTTCCAGAAATAAGGTGAAATCATGACTCCTTTTTTTGCAGCAGCTCCATTCTTTCATACCATCATGAAACAGAGGCTGAAAGACAAGTTGTTAAGATTTGTTTATATGGTATGCAAGATGAAAATAATAATCAATTAGGTATATGCATGATAGATACTTACTCCCTAGAGAAATGAGGATGCCCAGTTGAATAACAAAGCCGATGCACAGAAAACAAACAGATTAGACATGAAAACAAAGGCAGAAAAGATAACAGGATAGTTGAAAGGATAAAAATGATTAAACACTAATTTCATGGCATAAATTTGCTTCAAGAAAGGACACCAGATTACAACTTTCACAATCCACATACTTTATAAAGAAAGTAAATAGAAACTATTACATTGGTGATAAGATTTCAATGTATATGTTATCAATCACATCTCTACATGCTTGTTTATCCAGTCTTTTTCCTTCATTTTTAGTAAAAAAAAATTCCAAATGTTAAGTATGATGTTAAAAACCCACGCTTTTCTCAATTACTTTGCAAATGGTAAACATTACACTTTCCATGTCCTGAAGAAGCTCAAATTACTTTGCATCTGTATTTCTGACAATACTTGTCAGTTCAAGTGATGAAATAGGTCAGGGCATTTTCAACACAGACACGCTATTTTGCTGTTTTAGAGATAGCTATCGTGCTATGGCTGAGATGGAAAAATCACTCAGCTTCTTTTGGAATAGGCAGACTGCTATGCGTACATTATTGGACTCAAGTTCAACTTAGTATATATATGTTTGGATCTTATACCTCAAACTTTCGACTCAAGTCTGAATATTACGAAAGGCCTCCATCACTCGGTTTTCCGACTCGGCTAAAAACATATTAGAATCTCTAATAGTAATATCTAACAAGTTATTGCTCGACAAAAAATTATGCAATCGATTACAAATGTATTCAACAATAGCTATATCGAGAAGCTAATAGTTGTTCTTCGTTAAGATCATAATAGTTAATCCCGAAATTTATCGGAAATCCCCAGCGAGTGATATAGGGAAAGAAAAGGGAAAAAAAGAGGACTGACCGACTCATGATAAGTGCAGGAGTCTTGGGGATTATCATCTTCCGTGAAAGTAGCGTTACAGCCGATTCTCTGGCATCGAAGCGGGTTCGCCATTTTCACGCAAATTCTTTTGCTTTGATTCGGTTGATCGATCGACGTTTCCAGAATTTAGTACAGAGAGAAGTCTCAACAAAAGTCTCTCATGGATGGACTACGGAAGTATGTTCTAGCCATAACATAGAAATATTATGCCCCAGATTTGGGCCGTTATGAACATGTAAGCCCATAAACCTTTTAGCGTGCTTCTTATTTTATCTTTCTTATAAAGAATTTTATATTGAAAATATCTACTTTAATAAATAAAAATAAAAATATTTTTATCATATGCAGATTCTTATTCACTTTGCTACATTTTATAGTTATTTTAAATTAATTTTTATTCCACATATCACTTTATGTTTTTCCATTTTATTAAATTTCATATACTATTTAAAATCTAATAACAAATGCATATCAATTTTATTAATGTTTTCCTTCTAATTTCAAGATTACTAAATTAAAGTTTCATTAATTTCTTTTATTTATTTATCTAAATTATTTGTTTACATTTAAAAGAGAAAAAAAAACACTTTAATTTTTATAATTTAATATTTTTCTCACTTTTCTTATAAATTCAAACTTCTCAAATATTTTGAATTTTATATTTAAATTTTCTTTTAAATAAACTCTTGTAATACATGGGTCTCACACCTAGTCCTAAAATAATTTTCTACGTAAAATCTGTTTTACCAAATTAGTAATTATTTTGTGATAAATATTTAAAAAATATTATTTTATCAAATAACTCTAACCATGGTATATAAATATTACAATTTTAGTCCAAGTGTTTTTATTTGTATCAATTTTGTCCTTTTGGTTTTCAATATTTACACAATCAATCTCCCCTTGAACTTCATTAACATTTTCTATTAAATATTAGGGTAATTACATCAATCGTTCCTCGTGCATTGACAAAAACGCACGTTTACTCCCTATTTTCAAAAATTAACTCGGACCGTCCCTCGTTTGTTTTAACCTTGCACACTTCATCCCTCCAGAAATTTAAAGACTATTTTGCCCTTTACAATTTATTTTCTAATTTTTTATTTGTTTTATCATTTTCCGGTTAATAAAAAAATAAAAAATAAAAAATATGCACCTACCACACCTCCCCCTTTTCTTTCCCTACATTCCTTTCGTCTCCCTAACTATCTGGAAAGACCAAAACATCACCACCATCGTATTCCCAGTTTCAATATTTATCTCTAGTGACCCCAAAACATCTCCGACGACTCTGTACATAAAAGAAAGAACTTCATTTTTTCTCTAAGAACTCCACTATTCTCATTCTCTTGTAGCCCTTTCTCTTTAAGAATTCTATTTCATAGACTGGAAAGAAAGAACATGTCAACGAACCCTGTCGGAAATGGTCGAAGAAGAAGAAGAGATGGGTAAATGCAAACCTTAAATCATCGTTTCCATCTAAAGTGTCATAACACAAACCCTAGATCATTGTAGTATCCCTTTGTCTTTTTAGATATGCGTCCGGAGGTGGCGATAAGGTTTTAGGAGGTGGCGATAGGAGGTCTGGAAGAGTAACACAGGTGGTGATGGCGGCTTTGCGAGGTCACCTTTATCCGGCAAGGCATCGACTTCAGATGTCGTTGGAAGTAGCTTCAACATCGATAGTTGGGATGTGATTGGGGGTGAGGGATTTGGCTGGAGACGGTGATAGGTGGCGATCGTGGCTATGCGAGGACACCTTCTCCAGAAGTGGAGACGATGATGGTGGCCGACGATTTAGCCGGCAATTTTGGGTGGGTATTATCGCTGGAAGTGGCTTTACCAAGTTTGTGAGTTTGTTTCCGATTAGCAACAATTGAAGGGTGGGGAAAATGAAGGGCCTCTATTTTTTAAAAATATTGATAATAAAAATAATAAAAACATTAAATTAATTGAAAATTAGAAACATAATGATATTATCGTCATTTCAGTTTGGGAACAGACTAAGTTCGTAATAAAATCGTCTTTGAGGGATGAAGCATGCAAAATTAAACCAAACGAGGGACGACCCGAGTTAACTTTTGAAAATGACTTCCTATTATTGCTTATGCGTTTTGATCCATGCACAATGGACGATTGGTGTAATTTACCCTAAATATTAGTGAAATCATATTTTCACCCTCAATGCAAATCAACACCATGTTTTCAAGTTCAACTTAATGAAGGAAAAAATGAAAATAAAAAAAAAAAAAAAAATTAGTGTTTCTAAGTTTCATTAAAGGAAACTAGTGGAAGGAAATAGAAAGAAAATGATCAAACCCTTAGTTAAGTGTCAAGTTTCATTAGTACCCTCGGTCAATCATATCATTCTTCATACGGGATAGGGTGTAGGCACGTTTATTGGAGCGGTTGGGAAGAACACTGACCTCTTTCTTTTTTTCAATCGTTAGAAAAAGGAGCTTGGTCAACCATGTTCCCTACGTACCCTATCTTTATTCCCATGATTCCCCGTTTGCACGTCTTCTCCGCAACCGTCGGTTCAGATCTATCTCAGGGTATGGTCACTGCACTCCAATCGTTGTATCATTTTTCCTCCTTATTTTCTTTTCTTTTCTAAATCTTGGGAACCATGCCAAAATGTCATAATCGCAATTTGTAAGTGTGTATGGATTATTCGATCGTAAAATCACATCGATATATGCAGAAAAAAATATACTCCCTTCGTCCCAAATTGATAGTCCACTTTTGACTTTTGAAGTATTTTTTCTTCAAATTTTACCGTAAATATTTTTATTTGTGTTATATATTACTTAATAAAACTTATAACAATGAAAAAACATTTAAAATACAATCCATTCATATATTTTGCATGAAGTATTATCTATCAAAAACAAAAATATTTAAGGTCAAAATTGAAGAAGAAAGACTTTAAAAGTCAAAAACTGACTATCAATATGGGACGGATGTAGTATATTAAGACTTAGGCCTTCTTTTTATAAATAAAAAAATATATCAAAACTTATAATCATTTGTCATCTATAAACTGACATCTACATCGAGATGTGTAGATGTCAAACCGCAAAATTAGTTTTTTTATTTTTTATGCTGAAAATTATTCAATTTTGGTTTATATAATTTATTTACTTTTTTTTTGGTTAAAAAATCATGTGATTTTCGATTTTTTTTTGTTGAAAAAACATAGCGCAAAATTTGGTTTATATAAATTAAGTTCTGTTTATATGGCAATTTTTTTTCATAACAACAATCCACCCATAAACAATTGGTTTTTTAAAAGGGAAAATTTCATTCACGTCCTTGTAAACTCTCAATATTACGTCAATATCCTTATAAACTTTAATATTATGTGTATATCCGTTTAAACCTATGAAAATTACATCAATACCCAAAATCAATTTTTAACTAGACTTATATCAATTTTTTATTAAGAAAATTATATAAAATTCAAAATTACATATAAGTTTACCAAAATACCCCTTTCCTAATTTAATCCCAAATTAAATCACAAGGCATCTGACATCTGGCATCAAATCGCACCAAGTCTTTTCTTAATCGCATCTGGCATCAAACCGCATCTTCTCTATCGCTGAATCTTCTTGATGATCACAACAAGATGAAAAAAATGGTTATGTTGCGATTTGTCATTCCATGTCATGATGGAATGGAAAGAGAAATAGTTATAAATTTTCTCATTCAAATGGAATCGTCAATTCCATTCATTCTTCATTTATATCATACTAAATGATCAATTCAGTTCTCTTACTTGCCAAAAAAAATGTATGTTTAACGTGGTTTTCAGTTTCTATGTTGGAGCCAAAGATTCCATGGTTCAATTTGATCAGATGCGAGAATACGACTTAGTGCCAGATAAGGTCTCCATGGTGATAATCGTAAACACTTGTGCAAATTTCGGCGCCATCCATAAATCCAAACTCAGCAACGAACTTATAAGAACACAATACCGCTCACCAGACATGATTCTAGGAACTGCAATGATAGACATATATGAAAAATGTGGAAGCATAGATACTACACGCCAGGTGTTCGATGAAATGCCACAAAGAAATGTTATAACATGGAGCACAATGATATCAGCTTACGGGTATCAGGGCAAGGACAGAAGAGCAGTCGAATTGTTCACCAACATGTGCAAAAACAAAATCATACCAAACAAAATCACTTTTCTTCCACTTCTATATGCGTGTAGTCACTCCAGTTTAATCAATGAAGATGATAGATTTTACCGGTTGTGATGAAGAAGATGTGAAATTAAGCACTAATGGAGATTAGATGTGTAGTGAAGAAAGGTAGGAGATCAGATATGTAGTGAAGAAAAAACAATATACCAATATTGAAGGCCCCTTAATTGAACTAAAAGATATGATACGATTCTGCCTTTTGATTTAATTTGGAATTTAATTAGAAAATGCCAATTTGGTAAAGTAATATATAATTTTGAATATTAGATATAATATTTAATAAAAATTGATATAATTCTAATTAAATTATGATTTTGGACATGTATGTAATTTTTATAGTATTGGATGGATATATTTGTAATTTTAAAGTTTACAAGGACATTAAAGTAATATTAAAAGTTTGCAACGATATATATGAAATTTTCCCTTTCTAGGAACCAAAATCCGTTCAAAAATAAGTCATTCATAAAATAAAATAATAATAATAATAATAATAATAATAATAATAATAATAAACTCAATAAATGTTGTCTTTTAACAATTTTTTATAATTTTAAAAAAAATATATAATAAAGCAATATATCTTGCCAAGGATTCAATTTGACCACTAATTTATAAAATTACCTATTTAATCGGTATTTGCAAATGAAAGTGGTCACAACTGAACTTTTATTTAAAACTTACTGATTTTTTTCTAAACAAATTAAATTTTGATGGTCTTACCGTGAAAAATGATAGGGAAATTGATTATAATAATCATTATAAGAGGGTGGTTGGCTGAGCTTATTTAAAATGATGATCACTTTTAACTTATTATCTTATAGCAGTGTCAAAACGGAATTTTTAAAAAAATGTTTAGATTAGTTTATCCGGTCTCAAAACGCTATAAGTCAATAAACCATTTTTAGTGTTTGGAAAAATGACAAAAAAATAAAAATAAAAAATAAAAAATTCTAAAGATGTTGAACAGTTATAAGTTATAAGGGGTTTTGATAAGATATGGTTAATAACTTATCAAAAATGATTTATTTCTGATTTCACACCGTTATAAGTTATAAGTTGTTTTTAAAAAACAATATGTTAAGACACCCATAATAAGTTAAAAGAAACTTATTTTTTAAGCCTCTGAATAAATTTTTTGTCAAAACCAAGTTATTTGTGTTTTAAAAAATAAGTAATATTTTCTAAATGGATCTCCGGAGTAATCAATTTCAATGCGTTTATATCAATATTTTTCAATCGAATTTCTCATTCTCAGCCTCAGCCATTGTAACGTAATTATCATCATTTGTTATATTTTTATAACTTTTTTAAGCTTTTTTTTTGTCAAAATTTCGAAATTGTTTATGGGCTTTCAAATCTGTTTTGAAATTCTAAAATAGTTATTGTCCAAAACTGAAATCCGAAAATTCAGTCTCAAAAGTATTTTTTGGTCGAATTAGTCGAAATGACTCTCCTGAAATATTGGGTAATTAGAAAAAAACATATATATTAGAGAAATCAAATATTAACTTCAAATATTATTAGCCTTAAACAATTTAAGAAAATTTATCTGATTATAAATCAAACAACGCATGAATCGTGTGGTGGTGGAATATCTGTTTGTAAAGCTTGGAGGCAAGAATCGTGTGGTGGAGGAACATCAGCCTGTGAAACTTCGATATAGGGAGCGTGTTCTCCACAAGTTCAATATATCTCTCTAACTTTCACCAACTTTTCTACCAACTGACTGCATAGAGAAGACGCTATTGATGGCGAACATTATTGGAGTTGGGATTCCGTTCGGCTTATCATCACCACCGCATGCACTCAAGACATCCACCAGAGTCGGCGGAGCTGCGACACAGTTCAGCCACTCCACACGGCGGATGGTGGCGGTAAAAGCAGAGGTTGGTGGTATAAACCCTGAAATCAGGAAAAGCGAAGACAAAGTCGTCGATTCCGTCGTCGTTACAGAACTCGCGAAACCCGTCACTCCTTATTGCAGGTCTCTGTTATTCCCACCTTTTTCTTCGTCGATTATCGCTTGTTAAATCTCATTACATTAACTGATTCAACTTCTATTATCAACTTATCTGTTGTAGTTTCTCGTTCCTAAATTGGAATTAGGGAGATAGCGTGCAAATACCCTAAAATTTTGAATGTTATGTTTCATCTTCACAACACATCAACACAGGCTGGGATTTATTTACAAAATTTGAATTCTCAAACTTGAAAATTGATATAAATTCTCCAAAACTACCTGTTTATAATTTGTAGGTGCTGGAGATCTGGGACTTTCCCGCTTTGCGATGGTAGCCATGTAAAGCACAACAAAGCTACCGGAGATAATGTTGGCCCTCTGTTGCTGAAAAAGTAATAAAAAATTATGGTATTTATGTAATCGTGATCATGTTTTTATTTGGTTAATTGCCTTCGAATAGTAATCTTTCATATAGAGCATGCCCATGAATGTATTGTGTATCCAATTCGATTTTGGTTAGTATGAGAACATAATAGCTTGCTGATATTTTGGGTTTTGAATATATTTGTTATTACAGTTAATGCATGCTTCAGATATCTGAATGAAAACATGTTGTTTGCTTTCAGATATCAATAATGATCTTTAGAAAATACTGAAAACGGTGGCTTAAGTGACTTCTCTCTCAATATATCCTTAGTATCATTAGTCGACCCTCAAGATACGATTATAGGTGTTCCTTGTTCTAGTTCTTGAGGTAATTCGTAATTAACATATTTAAACAATACTGTTCAATGGATTAATGGGATGTCCGCCCATATCTTGTTGTATTGAATTAATTAAAAGCCAAAACAATTGATTACGTGGAAATTTAATTAAATTAAAGGTAAATTATTAGTTATCAAAATCTATAAGATGTAAAGGTTTATGTTTATGAGTTGTTTTCAAGAGCGGCTAGTATAATTATGTCTTCTTATTGAGGGGAAGTATGTTTGGGTTTAGTAACACCTTATCTTTAGGATCTCCCAAATGTGATATAAGGGGTGAGGTCTTACAAGATGTTATAAAAACCATAATTTAAGCTAATTAGGTTTTGAGATTCGAAGTTTTAGGAAACGTCGGGGCGACCATCTCTTTACTCAATGCTCCACCTATGTGATAATCTGTCTTATTTTGTAACAATATCCTTTTATGGTCTTTCAAACACCATGTCGTTATCTCTTTATCTAGTACTGATGTTGAGTAATCATAGGGGTCGCTAATTATTGTCGTTACATATACTCGTTGGTTATGTAACACGTTACCTGAGTTTCATACATCCCCTTGTTTACCATGACAATAAGGGTTTTATTTACATGTGTTATAATCTAGTTCAACATCAATGAACATAGAGATAGACATCCACTTCGTCATAGGTCAGGTTGTTATGGGTCAACTTCAATTACTTTACATTCCATCATCGTCTTAGTATGCTAACTCCCTCACCGATGACTTATCCTTGTTATTTCCATGAGTTTCAGTCCAGTTTGAAAATTTGGACTATACCTTCCAATAAACTGCTGAGATGTTAGTGTTGTATTAATAATCCTTATGTGGTGTTAGTGTAGTTTGTGTCGTGTTATTAAGCTCTGTGTGGGCATGTGGCCCACATAGTATAGATATTTGGTTAGTTGTTTAGGGCATCCACAATCCATTGGATTGACATATCATCCATTAAACATCTATACAACATCACCCACAACCCATTAAACACCTATTCAATCTCAATCACCACTTTATTCTTTCTATTGAACCATTCAATGATCATTCAACTCCTCCATTCAACTCTATTCTATGTTATCACTCACACTCCATTCAACTCGTATTCAATCTTAATCATCATCATATTCAACTCTTATACTACTTTCATTGTGGATGCTCTTAGATCATTGTATTTATAGTTGCGTTTAATAAAGCAACTAGTATGAAAAAATATATCTTAATAGGTTTGTAGCTAGTATTTTTGCATTATTGGTTAAAAGCTTGAATCTTGGTAGCGAGTAATGAGAGAGTTTCAAATTTATCTTGTAATGTTTATATTTGATTATGTTCTATTTCTTGTTATTTAAGTTTTAGTACAAAACATGTTACGCATATGATAGTTAATTAGTTATATTTTTTTTTCTAATATAAGGATTAATAATATATTTATATGCTTATGGTTGCGGGTAAGAAGTTGCAAGGTTAAAAATATGTTTGATAAATTAGTTGTTGGCTGAAAGTTGGAAATTAGTGATTTATAGCTGGAAGCTGGAAGTTGTAGTTTTTATTTTATGTGGAAATGTTCGGAAAAAATAGTCGTAAGCCTTTGTAAGACATGGAAGTGATAGAATGATGAAATGTAAAAGTTAAAACTAAAAATTAAGTTTGTATTTACAACTGAAATTTCTTCTATAATTTGATTTTTTTTTTTAAAACTAAAATCTCTTAAAAGCTTGTTAACACTTCACGTACCGATTATGGATAATTTTTGTACCTAAATTCGTTGTACACATTGATATAGCTTTAGTTATCCTATTGTAAGGTCTATTTGTAATAATGTAGGACCAAGTTATTTGGATTGTGAAAGTTCATCAAAAAGATGTTGTGGTTCATATGAAACAATATGGGTCACGTCGTGTGTAGTTAGTTCCATGTGCATCCACACTGGACATATTTCGAACATTTGAAGTGTTTTTGCCTTTTGTTGTAATGTCTTATGGCTGTGTCAAATCATGATTTGTTTGTTATTAGAAAATAAATGCACATTACAAATTGATAATTTCTTGATATATTTCGATACAAAGTAAGCTTATATTTTGAAATAGAAAACAACTATCAACACCACACCCTCATGTCCTGAAAATATTACGATGTACCGCACTTATTGATCGTAAAATACATTGATATGAACATCTAAAAATAGTCTTTATCTAAATAAAGAAGCGAGAAAAATATTACAAACGAGTGTGCATTGTGTCGTGTGAATTCCTTATTACACACGTTGTGTGTGTCTGTTTTGTTTGTTTTTTTTTAATATATTTTGGATGTTAAGTTGATAGAACTTTGCTGTAAAAGTTTTGATTGTGATTCCTTTCATGAATATGGTAGGGTCAAAAAAAAAGCAAATGTTACTTTATTGTTCTAACCAAAAATATAACGAAGATTAAATTTGGCTTGGTCGTAAGGCTGGAGAGAGTGACTCGCCAACTCCTACACCATGACCTCGCCAACTCCCACACCATGACCTCGCCACCACTACTTACCTAGGTGCTAAACCCCTCACTTCTTCTATGGTTGCTAGTTGTTTGGGGACACGAAAGAGAAAGAGAAAGAGGAGAAGAGAAGAAGGGCTCTTTGATTGGTTCTTTTTCTTTGTTTTTTCTTCTTTCTTTTTTTAAAAAAAAAATCAGCCGTTTGAATGGTTCTTTTTCGGTTGTTTTTTTTTTCTAAAATCCAAATGTATATCTATAAGATAAAGCTTAGGTGGTTAGTAAAAATGTGATGTGACAATATGCTGATATGCTACCATTCCTCATAGCCTAAAGCATTCATGCTTATTATTATACTTTATTCTTACAGTAAATTATATAAATATTTTTTATATTCATAATAGTATTTTAATTTTAATGTTATAAAAGTATTTTATAAAGTTGATAAACTATATAATGTGAGTTATTCATGTTTGTTCCAAACAAAAGTAAAATGCGAAACATATTCAGTTTTTTTTTTAAACAACAAATATTATAAATAAAAAGTCACACGATCAGCAAGTAACTAAAATGCGGGCAAAATACAGTAATACAAGAAGAAAAGCAAAAAACAATACATAGATCTAACAAAAATGAGAGATACTCCACTCAATCCATCTACGACACACCTTCGAGGTTCTATATTTGAACCAAATATATGATTGGGTAATAACCTCATTAGTAATTTTGTAGGATTGGTATTTAACGCTTTAAAAGTCTTATTGTTTCTTTCCTTCCAAATGAACCATAAAAGGTCATAGAACACCACAATAACTATCTCCATTTTCCTCAGACAGTTCCCCCAAGTAGCCGTGAAATTGAGAAATTCATTCATACTGTCGAAGTGAGTGACATGTATTTCATACCATTTTAGGATCCAATCCTTAGCCTCCATCACAATTGGGCATCTGATTAACAAGTGTTCGACAGTCTCCAGAACAGTACCACATAAGGTACATAAAGTTGATTATACCATAATACCCGTGTTTGCCAGATTGGTAGCCACCAGAATTCTACCCAAGGATGCTTTCCACATAACATCGGAATTTTAATGGGATTGCTTTCGACCAAATGATTTTCGGTCCATTAGAGAGAGTAGTTGTGGAATCAATCTTCTTGCACAATGTATTGACCGAGTATCTACCATCGGGGTTTAAACTGAAACGAAATCCTTTTTATGAATGATCGATATTGACATCCTGCAGTAAGAGTTGTAAATTAACAAGATCAATCAGGGTCTCGGCCTCCAAATTTTGTGATGTCCATTTCCATGTAAAGCCTGAAATAGATACCCTCTCTGAAACGAAGCAAAGTTTCACCCTTTTTAACTCATATAACCGGGGAAATCTGTAACATCCCAAAATAGTCAAAACATTGATGTAACTTGATCCAAACATTTAAAAATATTTATAAGTAAAATCAGATTTAAATCCCAAAATCACATATTGCGGAAAACACGGGTGTATGCACTGCGCTCAAGTCGGGCCCCTTGCTTTCGAACCGGAAGTGCCTGAAACCAAAACCACAAACTATAAGCACAAAGCTTAATGAGTTCCCCAAGCACCACCATACATAACAAAACATATAATTGGCCCCGCCCGCCTTAGGACCCCGTCCGACATCGAGCCCTGCCCGGTCATCGAGCTGAGCTCGGTAGTAAATCGGGCCCCGCCCAGCATGCATATAACATATATCAAATAAACACATACACATGCAACATAGCATACAAATAATCATCGGGGCCCGCCCGACATTGCACCTTAGCCCTGAAAGCCTATAAACACATACACATGCAAGAGTCACGAAGACAGCTAGCATACTAACATAGCATAAACATGGGCCGACATTGGTGCCTTCGACCCGCTAAACCCAATGAGGAAACTCACCTCGAATGCAGAAGCTCACTGAGAGAAATCCCTAGCTACTGCGCTGACGACTTCCCGAGCTATCAATACTAAAATAACACCCAATTAGCAATTGGGTTCCAAACCAAGATCCATAATCCATACTTGGGGTAAAATGACCATTTTACCCCCTGACCCAACATGAACTAAAACTGAGGCACAAGCCCAAAACCAAAAAGGCCCAAAACTACAAGATCCATAAAAGCCCACTAATGGCCCAATTTTCCAAATTGGGCCCATCCCATATGGGACTTATCCTAAAGCCCAATAATCCTTTGTCCAATAACAAATCTCAGATGGCCCAAGGCCCAAATAGCAAGTCCAATAAAGTGGCCCAAAGGAATGCAAGACCCAAGACGCCACAACCCACAATCCATCAGATTGACGAACGCAGGGCGTACGCTCAGCTACGAAGGGGGTACTCGAGGAGTTCTAGATTACAACCAAAAGGAGCTACATATGTCCA